AGAGAGAGAGAGAGAGAGAGAGAGAGAGAGAGAGAGAGAGCGCGAGAGCGCATGCATGCAAGGTTTCACTCTGTAGTCCAGGCTGACCTGGAACTCACTATATAGCCTAGACTAACTTGGAACTTGGAACTTGTAGGTGGTCCTCCTGCCTCAACCTCCTGAGTGCTGAAATTACAGGCATGAGCCACCACGCCCTGCAACTACTTTTTAAGGAATATTAATTTAGTTTAATCAAGCATTGTAAGCTGTGACTTCATTGGAACTGGGCACATGGAAGCATCAGCATGCCACAGTATATTAAAAGTAAGCAACAGAGCGAGGATAAGTCTGTCGAGCGCTCCGCCTAATGGAACATTCTCACTCCTTCCAGAAACTGACTCATACAGGGGATACGACAGGCCAACAATCACAGGCGGACGTGGGTCAGGCTAGATGCCAAATGTTAGAAGTCTCGAGTTTCTTGCTTTTGGACAGAAAATACATATATATTAAATTCTAACTTTCTTTCCCACATTCTGCACACCACCACTTGGAGAGCAATCTCGATGGAATGTCAGGTCAGCTGAGATGGGGGCTAAAGACCCCTTTGACACCTGAGTGACAGAGTCAGAAAGCTCAGGACCTTGCCTTCTATGGTTCTCTCTGACGTGTGTGGATGTGGGGCAGTGGGTGGTGAGGTCCCTTCACCCCTATCCCCTTTACCTCACCCACACTGCGTATAGTCCTGTGGCTTCAGGAATGTAGCCAAAGGGATCTGAGCACGCTACATTCCGGGGCTAGGGCTGGAACCCTGACATCTCTGCTGTGCTCTCCGAGGGCAGTGCTGGGTGGGTCTGAGAGCGGATGCCTATGTGCTGCGTATGTGCTCAGTTCTGCTCCTCCACACTTTCCCTCATCCCTGCTCTCACAGGACGGGCACGCAGGAGGCACAGACTCAGAGAGCCTCACTCAGACGCTCTCTGGACCAGGGAATCTGCCTTTGGCTTTGGGAACGGATTTGCTGGTTCTTAGACCAGAGAGCTGGAGCTAAAAGGAGAACCAGACTCTGCGTCTACAAATGGAGCAGCAGAGTTGGGGCAGGGGACGTCACTGTCACCCTCAGGCCTGCACTGCTTGGACTCCTCAGTCTTCCTGACGGAAGTGTTGGGACAGTTTTGAGGGCCTCTGTCTCTGACTAGGAGCTGCTGGACTGTCTGCCTAGGGGTGGCCAGGAGTGGGTATCCTTGGCTAGTTTGTGAGCTATCCTTGCACAGCCCTCGGCCCATCAGATGAGCAAATCTTCCTGCTGAACTGCCGCTGACTGGAGAAAAAAAAACATAAGGCGAGTAAGATGGCTGGTGGTAAGAGTGGTGGCCACGCAAGCCTGAGGACGTGAGTTCAATCCCTGCAAATGCACAGAGAACTGACTGTTGTCTTCTGACCTCCATGTATGTGTCTCGGCATGCATGTGTCTGTACTCACACATACGTATACGCAATAATAGTAAAGTGAGAACAGTCAGTAAAGGAAAAGCACTCTGCTGGATGTGGCGGCGGCGGCGGC